TTTTCATTGGTCATTTTGGTCAGGTGCCAGCGAGGTTATCCTAGCTTCTTAACCCTTTACAGGTGAAAGGGTTTTTCCTCTGGCCAGGAGGGATTTTAAAGGTGTTTACCCTTCCCTTTACATTTATACTCTGAAACCTTTATATTTATGACAGCATTAATCAGATCTACATAGAGTAGCTGTGGCTTGAGTGTTTTTTTAATTTTGATTTTGTCAGAAAAGATCAAGCAGACCAAAAAACTAGCCCTGGATCACACAGTTTCATATGCTGTATCATGCAAAAGGATATGAAGAGATTCAGAACTTTCTTGTCTTGATTTTTACACTGAGGTCTCTCCCTGAGTTTTCTTCACTATTCTTCAAACTGAGATGACTTGCAAAGACGTCTCACATTAGCAAGTCTGTCTGCATAGATTTTGGAATGCAATCCTAAAAGCTCTAAGGACATTTTCCCAAGCAGTCTTGAATACCAAGAACTACTCCATAAATAGTGCTGCTCTCTCATCTTAGCCCTTAACCATGGTGCAGGCGGTGGGTGGAGTGGATGGAGTCACCATGTGGGAGCTTTGCAATGAGTTTATAGGCAGAGAAGTCCCTAGTTTGAGTGACAGGTCATTTTGATATCTCAACTTTGCATGCCTGAGTCACACCTGCTTGCTAATATACAAGTATTTACTCCTGTTAGCACTGTTGAGCAAATACACCTGTGGGAGAGTAAGGTGGATTCTATTCTGCCTCACACATCAAGAAAAATCAATTAGGTTCCGATTGCAGAATCTCTCACCACCAGTGCTGGTGCAAGAGGCAGAAAGAACCCAGCTTGACTTTCAGACCCCAAGTAGTGACTGGCAGTTAAATCTGCAGGGCCCATTTTCCCTCTCACTTACACAAGTTTCACATTGGTTTAACTTCACTGACTGACTTAAACGTAGTTGTTCTTGATTTACACCAGTGTGAGAGAAGAATCTGGCTCAGCATCTTTGGATCAGGACCATATAGAGCAGTGGTTCTCAAACTAGGGCCACCGCTTGTTCAGGGAAAGCCCCTGGCGGGCCGGACTGGTTTGTTTACCTGCCGCGTCCGCGGGTTTGGCTAATCGCAGCTCCCACTGGCCGCGGTTCGCCATGCCAGGCCAATGGGGGCTGCAGGAAGGGTGGCCAGCACATCCCTGAGCCCATGCCGCTTCCTGCGGCAGCGAACCGCGGCCAGTGGGAGCTGCACATCGGCCGAACCTGTGGATGCAGCAGGTAAACAAACCGGCCCGGCCCGCCAGGGGCTTTCCCTAAACAAGCGGTGGCCTTAGGTTGAGAACCACTGATATAGAGAATGAACATGAAAATTCTTCACTCCTAAATGTCACCTGTCAATAGCACTGCTAAATATAATACAACCCTATCTAATTGTAGGCTGCTTGAAATAAGGGTTGATTGATTAGATAGGTAGATAGCGCTCTCTCTCTCACACACACTCACACGCACACATTCAAATGTTTCAGGTGACCCTATCTGGATAGACAGGGCTGTGTCTGCTTTGTAAAGATTCTCGGCCTATAAGCCTTCTGCACTGTACAATGGTGGCTACTTAGGGCTGGTCTACGTTAAAGGATTTTTGCAACAGTGTGCCAAACTGGTATAAAGCAAGGATTGTGTCACTTAACCCACGGTGCAAAAATCCCAAATGCAGGCAAGACCTTAGTACGTAATGCTTTCTCTCCTGTTGCTCCCTCCCTAACTTCAAAGCACTGTGAGCAACATTGAGTTAATCCTGGTGGTAACGCACTTGTTATGGTAAGTAAGTGTTATCCCCATTTAAGGATAGAAAAATGGAGACAGAAAGGGACAGTCACTTGATCAAGGCCACAAAATGGGGGCGTCACCAAGGCCAGAATTAGCACTCTGGAGATTGCTGGTTCTCAAGCCTGTGCTCAGATCATATTTTGCTATCATCAGCTGCCTAGTATTTACTAAAGAACCTCCACAAGATACAGGTTTGCACGAGCACCTCACTGACAACCTTCAGAGTGACTTTCCAGTATAAAAAGAAGTTGGAAGAGAGAAACAGAAAACTCCCAAGTTAGAGAAGAATGGGCCCAAGATTTTCAAAATCTGTTGCCTAAAACTAGGCTCCTGCATCCATAAGTGGTATGATTTTCAAGAGAGCTAAGCAGCCAGCATTTCTATTCCAAGCAGGCCATTTATTTAGATGCCTAAATATTGCATTAGCAGCCTAACATTAGACTCCCACTTTAAGAAAGTTTTGGCCTGGAATTGTCCTTGGGATAATTAAAGTGGAAGAAAAACCCCTCTTTCTGTGTGGTCTGCAAACAACTCCTTCCCATATGTTATCTTGCCATAAAGGTTATGTCCCTTCTAATGCAGCCAAGGTCAGTGCGTGCTGGGCTTATTGACACAGAAGTACAAGCTACATGAGTAAGAGCTGCCTGGTGCCCCTTCCCCAAGTATATCAATTGATTTTTCTGATCGATGCTCCTGTGGATTTCCATTTTTTCCTTCACCTTATATGAGCAAAGAGTCTACTCAGCCCCACTCATGAATTCTGTGTCTCTCTAAGAGGATGAATGTACATGTATACAGCACCCCTATGAAGAACCCAAATCACAAATTATACACATAGACCACCACTGGCCTGCAGCCACCCATAGTTTGAGGGTAGGAATGAAGACACCTCTGCATGGTAGGAGGTGAGTGGTAAAATGCCCTTCCTCTTTCTAAAATGTGCCATGAGAACTGTAATCCCTCTAGAGAGCAGACAGGACATCAAGGCCAAAACTTTTCAAACTAAGGAAGGAAGGATTGTCTTGTGGCTGATGCACACTGCATCAGACTTCAGGGGTCCGGGCTCAAATCCCAGCTCTGCCACAGACCGACTGTGTGACCTTGGGCAAAGTCATTTAGTCTTTTTGCAATTCCTTTCCCAGTTTATAAAATGGAGATAATACAATTCTACTTCCTTTCTCTCACCCTTTGTCTGTAGGGATTGTAAGCTCCTATAGCAGGGACAGTCTCTTACTACAGATTTGTACAAGCCCTAGTACAATGTGGCTGGGGACTCTAGACACTCCTATAATTAAAAAAAGTCAATCATTAGGTGCCTAAATCCCTATTTAGGCAAACTATAGCCTGATTTTCTCAGATGACCTGAGGACCCCAAGGGAGCTGCAGGTTCTCAGAATATCTGATAAAAATCAGGCCACTTTTCATCACCTAAATAGATTTAGGTACCCGACTTCAGGCACCCACATTTGAAAATATTGCCTTGTGTGTTTAATCCACACAGCAAGTAATTTGCACCACCTTGGCTCTCTCATCTGAGTACCCACTAGAATACCAGAAGGGAGAGAAGAGAAATCAACTAGTTTTTCATTTCCATCTGTGAGCTTGTACTAGTATAGCAGGGAATTGAACACTAGGAAAGCTTCACGGGTCAACTGAAACTTTCACAGCATTGAATGCACGGATCACCACACTTCCCACCCACCTTGTCACACTAGAGTCATCCAGTTTCTCCAAGGCCGGCCAGCTCAACCAAAACTGGAGGTATTTCTAGGGCCCTTCAGTCCTGCAGAACTCCACAAGCCTGCAGGTCTACACCAGTGAACCTTAGGAGCTCTGTAGGGACAGAGCTGCAATGACTACAGCTGGCGGAGGAGAGAGCATTCCACATCCGAATTAACAGGAGTTCAGTAAATGGAGGTTGAACTGAAATAGTTCTTTGCACATCCATAAACCCTAATACGCAAGCACTGTACAAATATGGATTGAGTTTTGCAACACCCTTCTTCAAAGGTAGACTATTATTATCCTCACAGATGAACAGAGGCACAGCACTGAAATGATATGCCCAAGGTCTAAACAAGTCAGAGCCAGGAATAGGACTCAAGAGTCCAGACTTTTCCAGGCAATAAGGCTACAAGCACGCTCTCTCTCTCTCCTATATGTCATCACAGAGCTTCAAACACCTGACAATTGCTTCCATCACAGATTACAAAGAGAAAAATTAACACTAATTCACCTAAACCTGGACAGTAGCACAACCAGTGGCAGATTTAGAGTTAGTGGGGCCCTGTGCACAGCTTCATTTTTGGGGGCCCCCCCTTGGGACCCAGCCAAGAAAAAGAACATTCTCTCTTATCCCCCCCCCAAATTTTTCATTCTTTTTTTCCTTCATCCCCCTCCTATATTAGAAGTAATGGGAAGTAAATGAAAAGGTGAGGTACCTTGATTGGGGTAGAGGGTTGGGGTGCAGGAGCTGGGCTCTGGGAGGGAGTTTGGGTGAGGGAGGGGTCGGGCTCTGGGAGGACGTTTGGGTGCGGGCTCTGAGCTGGGACAGGAGGCTGGGGTGCGGGAGGGGGGCAGTGCTTACCTCAGGCAGCGCAGCTCCCAAAGTGACTGGCATACTCAGCCCTCTGGCAGCGGCTCCTAGGCGGGGAGGGCCAGGGGGTCGCCACATGCCACTGCCCGCAGATGTTGCCCCTGCAGCTCCCATTGGCCGCAGTTCCCAGCCAATGGGAGGTGCAGAGTTGGTGCTTGGGGCGGGGGCAGCGCGCAGAGACACACCTCCCCCAGGGGCCGCAGGGATATGCCAGCCGCTTCCTCTGCGATGTGCCACTCCCAGGAAGAAAGCAGAGTGGGCAGGGAGCCGCCTTAGCCTTGCTGCTGGCACGTCTCTTCGCGCCCTTTAGGGGGAGGAGGCAGCGGGTCTCCATGCACTGCCCGAGGGGGCAGCACACGGAGCTGCCTCCCCCCCACCAGGGGCGCGCAGAGATGTGCCAGCAGCTGGCCGCTTCCGGGAGTAGTGTGGGGCCACCGGCCATGGCATGCAGGCAGCCTGCCTGAGCCCTGCTGCGTCACCGGGGCCAGGACTAGGTGCAGGGTGTCAGATGAGATTTGTTCTGCATTTTGGGGCCCCGTGCCACTGCATGATTTGTTTCATGGTAAATCCGCTCCTGGACACAACAAAGCAAGTTGGAAGTTTCCTACCTTCACTTTTTCACCATTTATCTCCACAGTCTTAATCATAAAGTCAACTCCGATAGTGGCTCCTTGACCTGGTGGGAAAAGCCCCTACAAAGAAAGCAGTTTGGTTAAAGCAGATTCTGCAGTAAGATGAGAAAGAAGATTTCACCTGCTGATGAATCCCCTCCAGGCTTTTGTCCCATCCTGCTTCCTCTAATTCTACTCCCCTCTCCCCAAAACAGTTGTTTTCCCATCAGAGAGAAGTATCAATTGATGGGGAAACAACTCAGAGTCAATTTAGGGTGATTTGATCACAGTCCATAAGTACCCACATGGAGGATAAATATTTAATAATGGACTCTTCAGTCTAGCAAAGAAAGGACTAACACAGTCCAATGGCTGGAAGTTGAAGCTAGACAAATTCAAACTGAAAATATTGTGCAACTTTTTAACAATGAGGGTAATTACCACTGGAACAATATAATCAAGGGTTGCTGTGGATTGTCCATCATCGGCAGTTTTTAAATCAAGATTGGATAGGTTTTTTTAAAGACATGCTGAAGGAATTATTTTGGGGAAGCTCTATGGCCCATGCTATACAGAAGGTCAGTCTAGCCTTAGAATCTATGATCTACGAATTCATAGAGATCTCTGTACCACAGGAAATGCAATCAATTGTTCTGTTGCCCTAGCTGTTGGAGGACTGGACTCTTCACCCACTCCATATACAAAGCTCCAATTGATTGCACTGGGAATCCAATGCTTGGAGTGGCAGCAAAATCAACTCTTACGTTACCTGGGACAAAAGAACTGATCATGTCTCTTGTTGTACAAAGGTCTCTCCAGTTCAACTCCAGTTGTTTTCCATAGAGTAAGGAATATGACAACTGGACTTGTGAGGCAGGGATGGGGAGGGCAAACAAGAGGAAAAGGGGGATCGAGAAAGAGGAGGAAGAAAAGAAAAAAGAACTATAGATGTTTATACCCTTCTCTGAAGCATCTGGTATTGACTGATGTCAGAGACAGGGCACTGGACTAGATTGGCCATTTAGCTGATTCACTATGTCAAATTTCTCAGTTCCTAGGAGTGAGTGGTGGCAAAAGCTTTAGGAACATTCATTAGAAGAGAACATTTTGTCATCACAGCTTTCCATTTCCCCAACACTGTTGTGTAACTCTCTGAAAGCCACTTTCCAAGCAATCCTCTCACATTCTTGTACAAAGGTTTCTGTGAGCGAACCGACAGTCAGCTGCTATCTTGACAGTAGCAACGTCAAGAGGCTTCAACTTACGTTTCGTGGTAGTATTATATCTTGGTATAGTTAAATAGAGGGACCCAAGCAACAATAAAATAATAATAGCTTTTCAATTATTGGTTTCCAGGCCTGTAGACCTACACAAAGCCACACTGATTTCTGTCCATATCTGCCTCTGCTACCAGTAGCAGCAAGCCAAAGCTTGGAAAGCAGCAGAATTGGCTGCCGATTTTACAGTTTAGCCCCTTGGGTTTAGCTCTAGTGCTGCCAGCTATTTGCTTGCTGCTGGAGTGGGAGGAAAAGAGTGAGTTTTAAGATTTCCAGAGGCTTGATTTTAAAACCAATCACAGAGAAAAAGTGCTGAGACTTTAAAGTGAAACTTGCCCAGAAACCATAACTGGTGTTACATACAGTATCATGCAAACTTCCCCTTTACCTCGGTTACAGAAATCCTGCTCCTCCTTTTCCCCAGTATCATTGCGCAGAAAAGTGCAGATTAAGTGCCCAACACTTGTAATTTAATTTTCTGCAAGGCAAGCAGGGACTTGCCCAACCCCCATTTCTATTTTAAGGATTTAGCTGTATGGGTCACAGAAGAAAACAAAAGCAGGAGGTTGAGAGGTTTGCTGAGCAACATATGGTCTCATTCCCCCGTCTTCTTAAGTCATCATTAAATGGCCTTTATAACGCTTGCAAAGCCTAATTTTTAAAGGGAGTGTGATGGAAGGTGCTGCATTGACAACCCCAGACATTGAATTTCTCTATCCAGATAGCAGTTTCCAGCAGCTTTAAAAGCTTCCCAGCCCTCTGCAGGGTTCAGGGTAGAAGAGGGACAGGATGCAGCAAGAGGGTACTTCAGTCTCTGTGACCCATTCAGGCCTGATCCAGAGCCCATCAAAATCATGGGCATCTATAGTCTCCTCGTTTTTCTCTCAGCTAGATCTGCCAACAAGGGGGCTAGTTTTGCAGGACATCACCCCTTGCAGGTACACTTACAGCACCAGGACTTATGCTGGGGATGTTGATATCACAACAAAGTGCTTTAGCTGATCTGCGTTGTGGGCGTGCACCTCAGTTCATAGCTACAGATTCCAAGCTATTTTAGAGACAGCTACTCGTTCAAATGGATTTACACACACGAACCAAAAACTTCCCCAATATGCACAGAAGTATTTTCCCCATTAAGAGAAGAAACATCCTACCTGAGTGAAGCGTCGGACTAAGCAGGTTTTCCCCACGCCAGCGTTGCCAATTAAAACAATTTTGAACAGAAAATCATAATCTTCCATACTCATTTACACAGCTGCAAGGGAAAGAGAAATATAAATAAGCCAAAGGGGAAGCATCAGCTGAGGTTCAACCAGCTGGTAAGAGTGTTAGCTCTGCATTGTCGCTTTACTCTCAAGAGCCCGGCATGTGATATTTCTGCAGGGCACCACTAACAAATCAATGCGTTTTTCAGATTCCCTTGCAACAGGGAAACCAGTACTCACCTTTGGGATCAGTTTAGTTACTGCTGAACTTTACTTCTCCAAATACTCAGGACAAAGGTCATTACAGAGTTTGCACTGCTGATAAGATAAGGGAATTGCACTTACAAAGGTGAGAGAACTCCTATCTTCCTGACACAAAGGCCTTTCGCATGCTCACAAACCTGACCACAAGCTGGCAGAGCCAATTCAACCTTTGCCATCCTGCCTGGCAAAAAAAAAATCTATTGTAAAAAGATGACTGAGTGTGGACTTTAATTCCATTCAATGAGGTCCTCAGTGTTCAGGCTGCCAACTGGACTGAATTACAAATGTTGGTTTATGAGCCTGCCTTGCTCAGTTTCCGTAAGGAGCCTTATACGTACTACGTCATAAGCCTTGGAGAGACCGGTCCTAGGTTTCATTAAACATTTTGCTCCCAATGCATCTGGTTTGGACTAAGCCACTAATTTTCTCTTTCTAAAGAGAACATGTTAATGTTCATATTCTGATAACGGGGCCCCATTGTGCTAGGTGCTGTGCAGACCAATGGCACAGGAGGTGTCCCCGCCCCATGGAGTGCATTATCTGCGTCTGGCAGGATGTAACAAGTGGATGAAATGGAAAAAAAAAAAATGGGAGAATGTGGCGGCGGCGGGGGGATTAGTAAATAGGAAAATGACCTCACAATAAAATGAACATGGTTTGGCATAAAACCAAAATCTTAGCTCACAACCTGCCTAAGTAATTCCAGAAGGTAGCAACTTGGTGGCACTATGGCTGGGGAAACATTTTAAAAGAGGGTTTTAAAAACAGGATAGGACGGATGACTTCTTATGTTTGTCAGGGAGTTTCCCCAGGCACAGGGGACAGTGGGAATCAGCAAAGAAGCCAACAATCAAGCCGGCCCTCACTGGCAAGGGGAAGGCAACGCTGACAGCCTAATAAGCTAGTAGAGCAGAGACTGCATTGGCCAAATAGGGAGAGGCCTTATAAGCATCCTTAAATGGTATCTGGTGGGGTAGAAGGAGGAACCAGTGGAGGGATGCAAACAGGAGGGTGATGTGGCCAGAGTAATGAGACAGGAAGAGGATTCTTGCCCCTACTTTTTCAGTGGACAACATGGTTGGCATCAAGGCAGCAGAAGAGGACATTACAGCAATCAAGGCATGAGATGCAGGTCTGAACAAGAATCTTGGGAATCTGGACAGGTGGAAGAGCTTGACTATTAGAAACATTATGCAGGTAGAAATAGCAACGCTTATATATGGCCTGGATGGGTGGACCCAGAGGAGGGGCTGCGTCAAAAAACAAATGCAGTATGGGGTGCAGGGCAAGTGGCCTAGCGGCCAGAGTTCAATGGGGGGGCACACCCACCAAGGGGTCTGGTGGCCCCGGTAGGGGGGCCCGGGCCCACCCGACTTCATCAGGCCCCGACTCAGGGCCCTAACAATGGCAGAGCAATTTGCCACTCATTAGTGGTGCGGGGTATCCCAACAAAACACACTGAGGTTTCCCAAGTGGGAGGTACCATTCCGTCACCCTCCCTGGGTCACTTCCTATCAGTATCCGCGTTGATGTCTCCCACAACGAGGCTTCAGATTCTCCATGGTCTGTTGTGCCGATCGCCTCCTGTGGCTCCTCTGGTCACAGGCAGGCCCAGGGAGGCTCTGGTTCCCAGCACAGTCAGGGGCTGTGGCTGGTCCTCTGCAGGAGCTTCTCAGACAGGTCCTTCCCCTGCAGCCTCCAGCCCAGAATGAGCTGGGCTCCCTCCCTTTATACTGCTAGAGCATTTGGAGCAGGCCCAGTCCTGCCTGGGAAGCGGGACTTCCGCTGTCAATAGTATGGGCTTAACCCTGTCTGGCCTAGTGCAGGGTAAGCAGACCCCGTCACAAACAGCAACAAAACCAAGAAAAACTGACATCCCTCTTAAAATTAAATGAGTGACACCACTGTTAAAATGTTTCATGCTTCATGACTTGCCAAAGCTAGAAAACTTTGGTCAACCAATGCAAGTTCTTTTCGGACCAGTAAAAACTTCCTTAGCACTGGTTCTGGACCAGAGATCTCTGTGGTCCTTCAAAACCTGGGATATACTTTCACCCAGTCCTATCTGATGCCCATTGCCAGTTCCCCGAAGCCATCCAACATTCAAACTTAACTTCTCAGGAAACTTAAACTTGTTTGTAGCTTTCTCGTGTTTACATTTATGAATGCTCAACAGCTCAGACATACCCTAGAGTTATGTCTGATCCTCTTTGTTAGACTCCAGGACTAATCGTATGAGATAATGACCCAAAACTGAAACAAGACGACAAGCCAGTTGCCAAAGCCATAAACAAACAAAACAAAGAAATTAAATACCAGAACTAAAACTAAACATAAAGGGTGTGAATAAGCAAGGATGGAACAAGCAAGAAATACAGAAAAAATAAAATGGATTGAGCAAAACGTGAGGAGTTAAAAATCTTGGCCTTCTCTCAGTTTATCAAACCATTTCTCTCTTCATTCATTTCCCACTTATAAAAATCAGAAGGGCACCTCTAGGTTTCCCAGTGTGTCCTGAATTCAACTTGACTAACTTTTAGGCCCTAGGTGGAATTTTCTAAAGTGCCTCAATGAATTAGGAGCACAAGTTTTATTAAGAAAACAAGTCAATGGGATTTGTACTCCTAACTCACTTAGGCCTGGTCTATACATAGTTTTGTACCGTATAACTATGTTGGTTACGAGTATGATTTACCAGAATAGTTATACTCGTACAACCCCTAGTGTGGACACAGTTGTACTGAGGTAAAATACTGGTATAGCTTAATCCTGTTCCCTTACAGGTGTAAGCAATACCAGTCGAAGCACCTTTATAGCAGAATAGCTGCAGCCACACTAGGGAAGTTGTACCATTTAACGATACTGAACTCGTTAAAGTAGTACAACAGCTTTTGTGCCTAGGCACGGCCTTAAGTAATTCCAACCCCCACAACCTTCAATGAGCTCTGAATGCAGACCTCTGCACCAAATCTCCCTGAAGTCAGTGGGGTCCCCATGGTGTGGGGTTTCACCTGCACAGAGCTCCTGGCAGGACTGGGGCCTTCGATTATGCACATTATATATAAACACAGTGCACAGATCCTAAAACTGTCAGCACTGGACTAATCAAAAAGTTACATTACTCTTATAAAGTTTTCTTGCTTCTGCAACTTTTAGCCAAGGGACTTTTTCGGATGACTCAGTCGCATATTAATAAATTTTTCTTTCCTCTTTCTCTCTTAACCGAGCAAGTGTATTTTAACCACTATAATTGTTGTTCTCACTGGCCAGGGAATAGTGGAGCTCAAAGGAACTTTGACACGGCACTTAGTAACTAAACAAATACTGATTCAGAGTAACATAACTCCTCATTATTCACTTGTGATCTGCTAAGCATTATTACTTAAAATTAATAAGTAGGAGTTGGATCACACTCACCCATAGTGAAATCCAGAAGAGGCACAAAGGGAAGAAAAAAGCCCCACAAATCAGAGAGAGAGAGACTTTATTTCTTCCCAGAGAAGCACATTTGGACCCTTGGGTTATCTACAGATAGCCAGAGCCATGAAGCTGGGAGCAGAGGTACCACTTGGTACCATGATCCAACCACTTTTGAATCTAGCCAGACATGAGTGGCACTAGGACCCCATGCACCAAGTCGCAACGCCACTCACTGAAATTTGGAGAGGGTGTGCGTAGGGGCTCATGGATCAAGGGGGTCAGGCTGCTGGTTGGGTGTAGGGGAATGCCTGGGGAAATCTATGGGCCTCCTCGCTTTAAGTACCAGTGCATGCATCTCTTTCTAACACCCTCCATGCACCCTCTCCAAACCAGATCCTCCACTTCCCAAAGAAATATCTTAAAGGGGGTACCCCAGCACAATGGGGCCACAGGCAGCTCTATCGTCTCCGAAACATATTAGTGGGATAGCATGGTGTGCTTGCCCCCCAGACTGCTCCCTTCTGACAGGGACCTACTGCCCACCTCCTGTGGGAATTTCTGTGCTTGGTACTGTTGCCAGGAACCTCAGTGGGACTTATTCATGGGAGTAAAGTCAGCAGAATCTCCTCTCCCCCTACCCCCCCGCATAGTCTGCATGAGGCACAGCAGAGTTTGTGGATGATTAAGATATTTTTCTGGTTTAGTATTTTGTTCGGCATGTGCTATGGGCAAAGAATTTATCTGCAGTATGTAAGTGCCCTGGGATTTATTCCCCAGGGGATTTAATTTCCAGTTTTATTTAGTTTCTTTCCAAGTGAGTTTTATTCTCCCTGAATCTGACTCACTTCACATACTAGCTCTCCCAAGCTGAGCCTGGTTTCCCACTCTAGTAGTTTTCCATTGTGCTTCCTACAACCTGGATAGTTTCTTTTATCTGCTCTTCGCATCCAAACAGACACATGGAAGAGCAGTGCAGACAGAAGATTCCTCCTCATCTTTGACATCCTGACGACTGAACATACAATGTGCAGTCACTCAGGGTAACAGAACAAGCACCGTAAGTTCAGGGTAACGATTCAAAAGCCAGCTGGGAAATGTTAATTGCTTTGGGCAATTGAGTTCTCGTTTTAAAAGGAGTGACGTTGCAAGCATGACATGCCCTCACACTCACGTATTTGCCCCATGGGCTTTTCACATTATCTTCCTATCCTAGAGTTTTATGGTAACACCAATTTTTGATCTTTGTAGTACCTGAGCACCTCCCATGCAAAATGGGTAAGGCAAGGGTAGGGTCCCGAATAGACGTCATGGAGCCTCTGGCTCTTCTCCCTCTCTGAGGTACAGCAATTCTGCTTGGGGCAGGGTTTATATTTGAGGCCAAATTCAGACCTGGTGTAAGCATGTACACTGGCAATGATTTGCACCCACTACTCTTCCCAAGGAAGCCTCAAGAGAATACCAAGGTTCAAAGGCCAGGCATTTCTCAGATCAGCTAGAAGAGGAGTTATCCTAAGCTTTACACACTCTGGAGATCAGGCAATAAAATTTTCCCCAGGAATCAAGACAGAAAGTGTCCTCAATAACAATGAACTTGTCCTCAATAACAATGTTCTCAGAGCTTTAAGACAAGACAATAAAATAGGTCTCTGTCCTAAAGAACTTCAATAGCAAAATTCCCATAGGCCTCAATCAAAAAATGTATAATATTTCAACTGCTAAAGATTTGGGTCCCAAAAACTAAGCCCTGATCCTGCAGAGAGATCTGCCAACATAGAGAATAATTAAAATCCATAGGATTCAACCTAGGCTTAAGAATCAACATGCATGGATCACTCTGCTGGATTGGGGTGCCTTAGACAACATAATAATCTGTAGTTCTTGAACTACAGATCCATCTCCAGGATGGGTAAAGGGATTGCAGGAGAGAGTGCGCAAATACACTGGAAAACAAAAGGAAGGGAATACTGAGCTTTTGCGACGTTACTGACCTGAACTGTGACTGTACAGATCATTGTTGCAACCAAGGTCCTATAGTTGCACCAAATCTTGTACAATGGAGGTCAAGTGAGGTGTCTATAAAAAGGTTGTAATTCGCTGCTTAAGATTATGCTGTCTGTATGCATGTATCATTTTTGTATTTGAAGTTATAAATATTGGCTATGTACTTGTATCTCAATGTGTTTGATTTTAAGTAGCATTAATGAAGTATTTGGTCAGCTTCTTGAGAAAGGATTTTTCAGATTAAGTGCCCAATCAAGAATCGCTTAACTGAGATTCATGGGAGACTCCAATCCACATCTGAGGAGCCTTCCTGGGAACGTTCAAGGCAGCATGTGAGCAATGGCTGCTCTACCTGCAAAGTCAGTCATGTATGGACAGGTGACTTGCCCATGTGACTCCAAATGCCATCTTGCTCCTGTGATTTTCCACAGTAAGAACAATGGTGATCTTCCACATGGGAGAAACTATATAAATGCCCCTGGGGGACGTCCCCATTTTGTCTTCAATCCTGCTTCTGACCTCTGGAGGAACTGTGCTTGAAACTGAAGCTCTGAACAAAGGACTGAACAACCCATCCAAGATGGGATGTTTATACTCTAGAGACTTGATTGGTTTAAATCAGCAGTAATCCCATCAAGCCTCAAACAAGCCTGAACTAAGAACTTTGCAATTCTTGTATGTATTTGATTCCATTTAACCAATTTTCACTCTCGTCTATATTTCTCTTTTTATTAATAAACCTTTAGATTTTAGATTCTAAAGGATTGGCAACAGCGTAATTTGTGGGTAAGATCTGACTTGTATATTGACCTGGATCTGGGGCTTAGTCCTTTGGGATCAGGAGAACCTTTTTTCTTTTACTGGGGTATTGGTTTTCATAACCATTCATCCCCATAAGGAGTGGTGCTGGTGGTGATACTGGGAAACTGGAGTGTCTGAGGGAATTGCTTGTATGACTTCTGGTTAGCCAGTGGGGTAAAACCGCAGTCCTCTCTGTTTGGCTGGTTTGGTGCGTCCTAGTAGTGAAAGACTGCCCTGCTCTAAGCAATTTGTCCTGAATTGATACTCTCAGTAGTGTCCTGCCAAAGGCCGCTTTGTCACAGCTTTGAGGAGGGCTGTTCCTTGTGGGCCCAGCCAATCATACTAGCTGTTTTATTTTATTTAGTACCTTTTTGTAACATTGGCTTTTAGATGATTAGGTGCTGAAGTAGAGTAGATGGCACAGCTGTAGCACAGAGATAGTGAATTATGAAGGGAGATCTGAAAGAGGGTGGTGATGGTGCACAGCCTACAAGAGGAGGGAGGCACTGCCAGGCAAAGGGCAGGAAAAAGATAAATATCACTCTTCAGAGTCCGTTAAATAGTATTAAGAGGTCCTATTGACAGAAGTGTCATGGGTAAGTAATTTTATTAAACATCCCCCACCACTGACAAAGGGCTGAACAATACAGCACAGCTAAACAGATAGACAATATAAATTAAAAGGTTATAGATGCACATTTACATTATATCTGTCCAATATTAGAATCATAGAACCATAGGATCAGAAGGGACTTCAAGGGTTTATAATATTACACTGTAGACTATATGTATTGACTACAGAAAACCTCACTAATTGGGAGGACAAAATTTGACCTTCTAGTTGGAACACAATTACAATCTAGTCACAGAATGTTTAAGTATCTGTATCAAAAAACAACAGCAATCACTCCTACATGGAGCCCAGCTTCAACAGGACTATGCATGTGAACAAAGTTAAGTGCGTGCCGAAGCGTTTGCCATATCAGCACCCATTTCTCTGCATGTCAGTGCACACCCTCCTCTTGATACACACACCCTTTTTCTTCTATTATAGCAGTCAAATGCTGTGTTGGCAGTTCCATTAGAACCCCCACTACATTGAGGAAGATGTAATTCAATCAACACTAGTTCCAGGCAGCAACTTGGTGTCTCAAATCTCTGCTCTGGAGCACAGATGTTTTGCTTTACAACTTATTAAATCTTTTTAAGGAGAACTGCCAACTTTTTCAAAACCCTATTATATATATAAAATTATAAAAGCAATACAGTGAGGGATGGAGGGGAAGAATCTAACTTCTACCTGAAAATTTTTCTCCATTTTTATAACAAATGAAACCTAATATCATTATAAGAAAGATTAGAACAAACATTTTCTTGTTTCCCTGCACCAGTTTCTTTAACTTATGTATTTGATAGCACTTGTATATAGGTTTCAGAGTAACAGCCGTGTTAGTCTGTATTCGCAAAAAGAAAAGGAGTACTTGTGGCACCTTAGAGACTAACCAATTTATTTGAGCATAAGCTTTCATGAGCTACAGCTCACTTCATCGGATATATAAAATAAAATGCATTTATTTATATTTATGGGAGACAGTGTGGGGTCTGTAGGGGACAGAGTACTGCAGAAGGACTCAGGAGACCTAGCTTCCATTCCTAGCTCTGCCACTGACCTGCTGAGTGATCATGGGTAAGTCACTTCCTCTCTCTATGCCTCAGTTAACCCCATTTTACAGATGGGGGTGATACTAACCTCCCGCGTAAAGCATTTTGAGATCTACTGAGGGAAAGCACTATTATTACTATTCCTGTTATGCACAGTGCTGTGTGCAATGGGCCCCTGATCCATGACAGAAGCCTCTAGGTTCTAGCATCTATATAATAAAATTCCAGGACTGTCACCTTCTGTGTGTCACTCTGAAGCCTAAAATATCTGTTGAGTCAGTGTGAAGCGATCAAAACAGTTACCAGCACGGTTCAGAGCTCTTTTTGTTTAGAATATCACCAGGTTCAACCATCACTGGGATTTACTGTCTGTTACCATCCAATTTTTACATTCTCAGCCATTTTGACTTTATAAATTACACCTGTGCAACATTACTGGCTTTCAGCTAGAGTATAGCATGTATTTATGCCATGCCAAGAGTCCCATTGTGATATCAGAGGTAATTCAACCAACCACCACCCTTAGGCAACAGCTAATTCGCATGCAACGATTTCACTGGTTATATGAGGGAGACTGCACAGATGGTGGGTTACTTGGTCCAACTGCTACAACTGTCTGACAACATGAGCTTTCAGCTACTAGTAATACAAGTAAATTACTATTGTTCAGTGTGGCAGAATGCAAAGTGGTCAGGAGCCAGCACTTCCAGAAGTCTTGAACCAGCAATAACTGTTATTTATGTAACCCTACACAGTGTGACTCTGTCCCCCTCTAGTGGCTTGACCATATACAGGGTCATAAGTCAGTAAGGCCTTTGAGTTATCAGAGCTGGCTTTTAGCTCAGGGAGAACAGGCTCATGCTTTTGGATCCAGGGTTCAGTCCCTACTCCGCATATGATGCCCCTGGGTAGATGGTCACAAATGTGGGAATTTTAGTGAGACTTTTCAGAATACCCAACTCATGTACAGTACACAATCAAAAATACAGTCACAAGGCTGTACGCTGTACAGCAATAGCAAAGGGTTAAGAAACCAACCCATATGTCAGAAGGACAGACCTTAAAATTGTGGAAAAACTGTGTTGCCAAACGCCAGCCAAAAATGGCTTTTAATCTACTCAAAAGCTGTTCCCTCCTCCCCAAAGGAAAAAAATTATGAGAGTTTCAAAAACTACAGCCAAAAACACTAACTGGAATGATTTCAGAGTAGCAGCCGTGTTAGTCTGTATTCGCAAAAAGAAAAGTAGTACTTGTGGCACCTTAGAGACTAACCAATTTATTTGAGCATAAGCTAACTGGAATGTCTCTTGTGTGGAAAGCCAGCAGAATTTCATGTGGGCAGCTCTTCAACAAATAGTAAAACTTCCGTTAAAAAGGTGTAGATTTCTGAATACGGGCTATCATGCTGCCCCACGTAAATGAGCCAGAGAAACGGCCATTGCTTACTACTGTTATCTCCTCAGTCTCTCGATTCCATTCCCCTATTGGTGTTTGGGAAGTATGTCACAGGAGCTACTCAAAGTCCACTGCCTCCAAGATACACTGGACTGAGACACCCCTTTGTGCTATAGTTCTACTAGGCATGGCACAAAGGGGATGGAAAAGGATACGGGTATGCCCAAACATGAACAAAAATCTTCTGCCTGAGATTCTCGCATCTGGTCTCTTCCAAGATGGACGTTCCTTTTCTGACTACAATCCTCCTTTCAACTCCAGTAGCTGCTGGGGTCTTGCTGGCTGTTTGAGGCAGCATTCACATCTTTAAAAAACAAAAACAAACAAAAAAAACACTCCAGACTCTCTTCCAAGTGAAGGTGGTTTGTTCCTGTGTCGATGAGGACCATCATAGCTGACCATGGCAGACTCTCTTTGGGAGGTCTCAATTAGATAATGCACCCAGCTCAGTACAACGGGGTTTTCCGAAGATCAGGAACAGAACTTAATAGCAAGCACTAACCACAAACATTGGCATAAGGCCAAATTCACCCCACAGAAGAAGGAGCTTATGTCAATGGAGCGTATGCCCTTGAGAAATTTGGCCCACAAGGCAATGCATGCGGAAGGTATCGGTCTTCCAGAGACAGAACATCAGATTCCTGAAGTCAGATGGATAGCATGGCCACCATCTTGGTCATGACAACAGGCATTGAGCCAGGGACTTCCAGAACAAACAGTGTCACCCTCTACAACTGGAGCTAAAGGACTACACTCTGTAGCAGGTATCTGTGGATTGGGCACATAGCGGGACAGACACAGACACTGAACAGTGAGTTACACAAACACCAGCCTTGGAGCAGTAGGACGGCCATGGTCTTTGCAGTTAACTTCACTGACCTTTGGTAATTCAGGGGGAAGATTTCACCATCACCGCTGCAACTCTCTGACAGCAGTTAAAATGCGGCACCACCCTGATCTTTTAGTCATAGACTAAAAATTCAGCATCAGCAAATGGATGGCCAGGTGGAGACCAGCAATCAATCTGCCCTTTTTATATGGGCCGAGAGGTTAAAATTCACAGCTGCTATATTAAGGTGAGACGCCATTTGTTCAAAATGAGCAACAGGAGCAGTGGCAGAAAAACAAAACAAAAAAAACAAAACAGGTCCTGGCTGAGGCTCATCAGTTTGCTCTCAGGCCTGCTAAACCAAAGAAGTTACTTTTCACAGACTGTAGGTTGGAGCCTGCCTGACAAACATTACTGGCTAGTTTTAGCAATAACAGCAAGGAGCACGGGCGGCGAGTTCTATGGGCCTGTGATGCCCGGGCACCAGGAATATTCCTGTCCCAGGGGCCCGGCTCCAGCAACGTTTCCCACTCCCCTCCCCACTCCCCCTGGCCCCACCTGCCGCTCCCGGGCGATTTAAAACAGCCCTGGGGCTCCCGCCACCACCCAGCAGTGCAGCAGGGCTGAGCGGCTTCCTGCGCGCTTGTTCCACTTGCCTGCTGGCAGGTCCTTGCAGCCCGTGTGAGGGGGTTGTGCCGCTGCGCGCTGCCCCCGCCCCAAACGCCCCTGTGGCCAATGGGAAGCTACTGGGGTGGTACCTGGAGACAGCAACGTGAGGAGACCTCCCGGCCTGCCCCGCCTAGGAGCCGCTGCCAGAGGGGGTGCCCCAGGTAAGCATCGAACCCACGCATCCATTTCCAGAGCCTGCACCCACACCCCCTCCGCAAACGCACCCTTTGGCACCCGAACTCCCTCCCAAAGGCTGCACCCCTCACCCCCTCCTGCACCCTGCACCCCCTCCGCCCCTAACTCCCTCTTGCACTCCCACCCCTCTCCTGCACCTACTTTTCTCCCCAAACTCCCTCCCAGAGCCTGCACCCCCACTCCCTCCTGCACCCCCACCCCCTGCCCAGAGCCTGCACCCAGCACCCAAACTTGTTCCCAGAGCCTGCACTCCAGACCCCCCCCCCACCCAAACTCTCTCCCAGAGCCTGACCTCTCACCCCTTCTGCACCCAAATTCCCTTCCAGAGCCTGCACCCCAGACCCCATCCCCACCAAACTCCCTCCCAGAGCCCGACCCCTCGCACCCTCTGCACCCAAACTCCCTCCCAGAGCATGCATCCCCACCCCCTCGTGCACCCCAATCACCTGAACCCCAGACCCTCTCCCCCACCCAAACTCCCTCCCAGAGCATTAGGCTGGTGTGTGTGTGGAGTTTGGGGGGGGGGGGGGGGGGGGGGGAGTTTCTGGGCACCACCAAAATTTCTACAAACCTGTGGCCCCTGGTAAGGAGGAGAGTGAACAGGCAAGGTAAAAGGAGGCATCCCTGCCTTAAAACACCCTTCTGGACGTTGTAACTGATTCTTCCAGACGACATCTTATCTCCTTATTTGATCTTGCTAATAACAAGAGTGTCTAGACAGCTGCACCTCCTGAAGAGTAGCCAGAATACCTCTTATTCACTGACACCAAATGCGGCCTGATTTCCTGCATCTTTAGTTCTCCAAAGAGAAATAGACATTGGCTTTAATAGAGTTCCTAGGTTGCCCTATTAGAGGATTACATGCACGTGTGTTAAGTTTTCTTCCAGAAACAAAAATCAAAGTCGAAACTGCAAAAGCCAAGATGCTACAGCTGTAAGAACCATAGGTGCACTGTACAATAAAAAAGCCATTTTATTTTGAAATGTTCAGTCTGATTATGTGATTGGCTTCAGTGAGAGCAGAACTGGACCCCTTAATTAGCAGCACTCACATACATTTTATAACATAGCCTGAAGTGCAGCAATGACTCCTTCCCAAGACAAGCCCTCTGGGAAATTCTCTCTCTGGATCAGCACAGCGTTCACTAGCACAGGTGTCAATGCGAGTGCATTCTGACACAAGGAACACGGAGAATCACAGGCTCTTGCATTTGCATGTACAGAAGGAACATCTGGTGGGAACAACAGGAACGGGAAATAAGGACACAAGTCCTGCCACTGACTCACTTCATAACCTTGGGAAACTGCTCTGAACTTTGATAATCCATCCATGAAAGGGGGAACAACAATGGTTTTACAGCTTGGTAAATGATAAGGATGTTTGTAGAATTCTCTGAGATTCCTAAATGGCAGACACTATGGAGATGCAAAGTATTTAATCTGCAAGGTGGGCTGGTCCAAGGTTACTACAGTGGACAGAGAACAATAGTGACTAGTTCAAGATGTACTTCACTTTTAAAAATCGCTCAAACTTGTTTCTATATTTTGTTTGTATCTGCTTTTACAGTTTGTACAAGAAGGAAAAAGCAAGCTTCATGTATGCTATTACTAGTTAAATACTATAATTCAGGTGTGCATACAACATGCCGTGTCGAGGCAGTAATGGTAGGGAAATCACTGCCTTATTCTCTTGTGTGAGGAAACAGAGATACAAGGCTATGTTTTAACACAAGAGCCTCCCTCAGTGCAACTATAGGAAATTAGCCAACCATAATTATAGGCCATCTCCTTGCAATTGGGATAGGAGGGATGGCAATTTATAGCACATAGTTCATTCATCCTGTAAAAAGGAATCATAGAATATCAGGGTTGGAAGGGACCTCAGGAGGTCATCTAGTCCAACCTCCTGCTCAAAGCAGGACCAATCCCCAACTAAATCATCCCAGCCAGGGCTTTGTTCAATCTCTGTTCTATATTTAGGTATTTTTCATAGCTAGGTTTCTCTCTCAGCGATGAGAGCTCTCCTACATCACTCTGGGTTCGGAGAAGAATACAACTGACAATGTAAAGTGCTTCCAAGATGAGAAAAGCTATTGAAGTTCTAATTCAGCCTCATAACCCCCCTGTAAGGGAAGGAGGCATTCAAATTCCTGCATTTAGAAATTGAAGCAGAGGCAAATGGAGTAACTGAATGATACTTGGTTGAATGGTAATTTGCTCGCTTTATTATTAACTTATCCTCTCCTTTCTGCAGCCCTGTGTGTGTCTGTATCATTCACCTGTTGTGTTTTCTTATAACCTAGTCTACAAGCTCCTTTGGAGAAAGGACTGTCTTTTTACCGAGTATCTAGCACAACAGGTCTCTGATCCTTCATTAGCCCCCCCACCCCACACACTTAGTGAAATACAAATAATAAATTAAACCTAACAAATAATAGGTACTAGCACCCCAACCCATATCATCATCAGAGGCAAGGAGATTAACTGAACTGGCCAAGGTCACAGAGCATCATTGTAACAGATGGGATTTGAACTCAAGTTCCAAGAACAGTGTTGTGTTCAGACTCACATTCTGTTGAGCAGATGCAAGGCTGCATCATGGGCATCCATCAAGCACTGAATTCCTTTTACATAACATATCAAGGCTGCTCAATAATGGCAAAGAAGGGTTATTATGAAGAGATGGGTGCCAATCATTACATTCCTCTGGAAATGGAGCAGCATATCCATCCCCTGCCCACCTTTGCAGCATCTGGGCCATGTCTATGCTGGGGAAAAGTGTCATGCTAGCAAACGTGTTAACTAAACACATTTAACTAATGCGATGTTAAACACAATTTTGCCCTTTGGGTAAATAGGGACAGTTGTATTTAAAAACATTAGCAGGCCATGGTTAACCTTAACGATTTTAAACACAAATCATTGTGTTTAAATGTCCCTGCCTACACGAAGGGTAAAACTGTGTTTAACATCGCACTAGTTAAAATATGCTTAGTCAAGTCTGCTAGCACAATGTTTTTCAAGAGATGAGAGGAATTTACAGCTGGGACCTGCAGACCACACTGCGTACTGGAATCTGTTGTCAATGATGAAAAGGAGAGCAGCCTCACGCTGTGCATTAAAATGGCCTATTGGCCTCTCTTCGACTATTCTTGACAAACACGCTAAATGGTCAGATTAGTTCTCGGAATTTAGAGAGCGCGAGCGAGAAATAATACATTCAGAGAACTGGTTGGTGCACGTGCACCATTCTCCTCTACTGGTTGCAATATGGACTTTTGGGTGTCATCAGCCTTTTACTGCTAACTGCAACGAGCATTCTCCATTAACTCAAGTGGGAAGGGCCTGTGTTTTTAGAGCAGGAGGTCCTGAGTTCTGTCTGTGCTGTCACCATGGCATTCCAACTAGCTATTTTGTGGAGCACAGCAAGAACTATGAAGCCTTCAATAACCATAAAAAGGTCTTCTTTTTCCCCCCCTCTCTTTTCTCTCTCTCCCCCCCACTCTATAGTTATGGTGAGTCACTATATAGCACAGTTACAGTTTCCAAGATCTTTTTCTGAGTGTTTTAGCACTGTTCAGTCTTTGAAAAAAAGTATGCATTGTTCGTTT